GACTTTTCATTGACACACAATATATTTTCCCTGCAAGCTGATTAATATTGAGGCAAATAGAACTGTAATGCTTCATGTATAAATGCAAAGGAGCATATAAGCTTGGATGTCTTTTCTGTTTTACCACTGGCATACTGATTTGTTTTGTAACTGCTAAGCCTCCCCCCAAGCTTCGTCTGCTGCTCTCAGTCTCCCCTTTATTTCTCTTGCCCAATCAGCAATGAAAACTGCAGGATTTGTTGACACAACTGTTTGGCACTGATAGCAAGGCTTGTTTAGAGTTGAATTTCCTGAAGACTTTGTTTCTCTGTTCTTTTCATAAAAATCTGGTGGGGTTCTGGGCCTTCCCTTCTGCTTTTTAGATCACATTTTATGTACAGTTTAGCTAGGAAAACAATTGAAAGAACCCCTCTTCTAGAGAGTCATGTCTTCTTCAGCAATGGAAGTAACTTCAGAAAAAATTGAGGCGCTTCTTAAATGGCCTGTCAAAGGGAGAGTATGCAGCTCTGCTACCCCCTTGCATTCCTGTAGGCAGAAACACATTAGACAAATTAGAAGGGTAAGAATCAAATATTTGCCTTTCTACTTGTTAATTCTGTTCCATTTTCCATTTGTGTTCTGTTGACTGTGTATCAGAAAAGTCCTGGCATAGGTCCAGCTCAGCCAAGCCGTATGCATTGGCTGTTGACTGGGAATAAATTTGTACAATGGGGAGACAGATTATGAGAAATTACTTCTCTTGCATGAATGACAGTATAGGTGCAGTTAATACTCCGGGGTGTTCGCAGGCCCAAACAGACTAGCATTCCTCAGGAGACTTGTAGAGAGATACTGAAGGCAAAGATGCTAGTCTCAGTTTAGTGAAATTTTATGTGTATTATGGCTCTGTTTCATGCTTTGCACATGTTATGAAGGTATAGCTTGATCTAATCACTATGCAGGATGTCCCACAAATAAGATGAGAGTGTCCAAAAAGGGCTGGGTTTGTGTGTTCATGGGGAAAAAAAAAAAAACCAAACAAACAACCACCACTTGCTTTTAGTTCTAACTCTGTGTTGTTGTTAACATGCAGGATTTGGTCATTAGGAGAGGTTAGTCTGCCTCTAGCCAACTGACGTTCAGTGTAAGTCATTCTGTTTGCCAGCATCTTGCGTGTGCTTCTGGCTGTGTTTCTAAGTGGGTGACTGGGTGGACTGACCTGTCTAGAAGAGGAAGACTTTAATTCCCCAGTAAGAGGTGGCTCTACATTAACGACCCAGACTTTCTGTCTGCCAGTAGTCTGCCTGGGATGTGTCTGGTTTTGGATAAATAATGAATGCCTTTAGGGAGAGCATGTGATGGGGAATGTTTGATGCAGCGTAGAGAAGGCTGTAGGATATGTCTGGAGTATGCAAGAGGAATGGATATGCACTGAGGAAAATAGCTAGGTATTCAGCTGCCAGAGAGAAAAGATCATACCAGAACAAGATAAACAGCTTTCTGAGCTCAATCAGCTGCACCACCTGCGCTGGTTGATAATGAAGACTACACATCATCTTCATAAACCACTGCTCCTCAGAAGAACAGAGTATTTACATCCAAGCTGTTCCAAGGAACTTGTTTTGAAGTCTTACTTGCAACAATTGAAACTCCCTCCATGATCCACATTAGAAAACAAAGCATTTGATTTGGGATTGAAGAGAGGCTTCAGTCAAATCAAAACCAAATCTCATCTTTACATTCTTGTTGTTCTGAAAATTAATTAAAAAAACTAATTTGGTTCACCTTGAGACGAATTCCTTGTATAATTAGAACAGAATTAAAGCTATTATTAGAGTACTGTTACTATTCCAACATATTTGCTCCCTCATGGACTAGCAAAAATGAGTTGTTACACGATGCTGCCTGTCAATAGTGGCTGTATAAGAGTGTCTAACTGAAAACTTTTGGTTTGACTGTATGCAATTCGTGGTCACTTTTTCATGCACAGAGGCAATGGGCTTGCAGCAGCTCTGTCAATAACAGTCAGTTGACTTTACCGGGACAGCAGCCTCTGGCTCTGGAAAGGAGGCAGATGTTATAGAGGACAGGAGGAGACACTGGTGTGACGTGACAGGTCTGAGCCATTGTAACACATTAGAGCCTTCTACTGAAGCCCAGTCCTGGCTGCCTTTGAAGATTACCGTGGCATCTCTCAGGTGACGTTACGTCTGTCTTGCTGTAACCACTAGCATGGTCACCTTGCTGCTGTAAATCTGTGATGGGAGCACATCAGGCTTGTGGCCATGAAATAACTACTAAGGCACCTTGCCTCTGCTTCTACAGCTGTTTTCTTTATACAAAGAGGTGCTGCTGTGTCCTGTGCTAAGGAATTCCCTTGGTGCTTCCAGTCAAACGTTCTGAGAAGGCCATAGCCTCATTGTCAGCTCTGAGGAGATGAACTGGTCAGTATTGGGCACAAAATCAAGGTAGGGAATGTTTGCTCCCTGTTTCTTTAAGAGCTGCGATCAGAAGAGCTGTTTGTGGGGAGTCTGCAGACAACACAGAATGTGAAGTCATGGGCTTGCTCATCCAGCAGCACATTGCTGTGCGTGTTTAGTGGTGCACAGCACCCACCCGGTGCTTCATTTCGCAGCAGCGGCACAACCACCCCTTCACTGTTAGCGCCAAAGACTCTGTCTTGACATCTTCCCAAAATGCAGCTACCATGACTGCCAGGAGCAGGGAGGGCCTATTTGCCTATTTGATGAGAAGAAAACGAGTTTATTAGTATAATATGTTACTATATACAGTATAGCATGCTATGATGGAGGAAAACTGTGACTTTTTGTATCTGTGGCGAATTATTGGTATAGAACATGAGCATATTTCAGCTTCAGCCTGCTGATCAGAGGACTCAGCTTGAGGCAATTCCTCTTATCTCTTCTCTGAATTGCTCTGTGATCTCTGCATGCCTGAGATGCTCAGATCCAAGCAAGTGTTGTTACTTGATTTGGCCAAGAGGTGACTTGGAAGATGCAGGTTCAGACCTATCAAGACTGAGCAGACCCTAAAGTCCAGGGCCTCTCATCCTTTCTGGGGTGAGCATGCTGCCCACAGGGATATTGCCCCAAAGATAGGGTTGCACAAACACACAGCCTCTTTGGAGAGAGACTTTTTACAAGGGCATGTAGTGAAAGGACAAGGGGCGATGGATTTAAACCGAAAAAGGGTAGATTTAGATTGGATATGAGAAAAAAAAATTTCACTCTGAGGGTGATGAGGCGCTGGAACAGGTTGCCCAGAGAAGTTGTGGATGCCCCATCCCTGGAAGTGTTCAAGGCCAGGTTGGATGTGGCTTTGGGCAACCTGGTGTAGTGGAGGATTTCCCTGCCCATGTCAGGGGGGTTGGAACTAAATGATCTTTGAGGTCCCTTCCAACCCTAACCATTCTATGATTCTACAGTTTCATGCTTTCCAGTTTCATGCTTTATATACCCCACTGATACTGGTAACAATATGGTCAGTTCTCACTTGCTGAGCTACTGAGGGGACTTGTCTGGCCAAGTTTTTTTGTGCTTTGGGAGTCAATTCACTGTTCTTTGTCAACACAGTTCCGCTCTCTTTCTAAATCTGTGGATGGGTTTCAAAATTTTTGTTTTAAATTGCTTTTCCACTTACAGTGTAAATGGCTGGTAATGCTAACTCTGCTACTATATAGGTATCTCGCACAGACCCGTTTGATGTACCCTGCAGGTGGCAAGCTGAAGACTGCTGTTGTAGGAAAAGTCAGGTCAAACAGACCAATTATTTACTGGGAGGTTTATTTGCCAGTAGCAAAGGATAGATGGTAATTTCAGTATCTAAAACGTAGACCTGTTTCTCAAACTAGATATGGTCTGTCATGGTTTAGGCTACCTGGCAGCTAAACACCACACATCTGCTCACTCACCCTCCCCCACCCCCCAGGAAACAAGGAAGAGAATTAAAGAGGAAAAGGGAAGGAGACTTGTCGCTTGAGATAAGAACAATTTAATAATATCTGAATATATATATGTATAATGATAATAACATATACAAACAAGTGATGCACAATATAATTACTCATCACACAGTGACTAGCGCCTCTCCCGTCCCAGCAAACGATTCCGAAACAAGTAAGTCCCAACACTGCAATCCCGGATGAGCGAGAGACCCGAAAAGAGAGGAGAACAAGCGAGTGAAAGTCCCCAGAAGAGCAAAAGCCCTTCTTTCCAGACAACTTTCATTTATATACTGGGCATGATGTTGCATGGTATGGAATACTTCATTGGCCAATTTAGCCCTTAAACCTAAGTTCTAATCATAAGGAGATGATTGGAGGAGGCCCTTTATCCTGGCCATGCTCCCCACCAGCCTGTTGTGCTCTTGCATACTGGCAGGAACACAACAAGCTGAAAAGTCATTCATGTCTCAGTGCCAACTATAAACACCACTGCGTTATCAGCATTCTTCTCATAGTGAATCCCAGACTAAAATCAAAACACAGAGCTCTTCTAGCTGCTAAAAAGAAAAGCTAACTCTCTCCCAGCCAAAACCAGGACATATCCCAAATCCTCTGCTTAAAAGTTCAGGTCTATAATTAGTTTGTTCTACCAGAATGTATTTGCCTCTTGAGTTGTCTTGTCAATTGTTCTGAAAAACTGGACAAGATTTCACTGTTAAGTTCAATGATGAAACAATAGTAGTTTTTATTTAAAGAATCTTTTTTCCCTTCCATTTGCTGGGCTCTCTATTTGATGCAGTTTTAAAGTACTGTATTTTTGTTTTGACAGATGAAAACATTGACAGGACAAAGGAATTTGGAAATGTACCTTAACATCATTAAGAAAAATTAGAAGGATTTGAAAAATACACATGGCTTAAAGTGTTTCTTTACTGAAGTTACTTACCTGATAAAAGATTTTGGATGTTTTATCAATTAGCAACTAATCATGATACAAGTGGTATGTAAGCTCTCTCTCTTTTTTCCTTTTTTTTTTTCCTCCTTCCTCTCCCCTTAGGCAGGAAGATCCACTGAGACCTTTTTTGCTGCATCCATGCTTGAGGAGCTCTGATGAAGAAGTAAGATTCCTGCAAAAATGTTCTCAAATTCTGGTGTATTGTCTCCTGCCCTCAAAGGATGTCCAGTCTGTCAGCTTGCGCATAGTCCTTGCAGAAGTACTTGCGACAAAAGGTAGATCAAAGATCAGAGATGATTAACTATTTGCACCTGTAGAATATTAGTAATTGCAGACTTCATTATGTGTAAGTCTTGATGCTCTGCTTTTAAATTCTGAAATGTAGTTTCTGTAATAACCAGTAAAACACTTTATATTCTCAAAATCAAGCATATACTTCTCTGACTCTCCTGACTTGATGCCAAGCTGTTGAGCACCTTTCAGGATAAACCACAATTTTTCCATTCCATTCTTCTATTTTTTCACAGAGAAACACTTTTGCAGTCTTCCATGGCATCATTTTTAGTGATTATATGAATAATTCTGGCCTTCTATATTTCATTCTGTTACATAGAATCCATAGACTTAGGAATATGATTATAATTGAATCATGATACCAGATTTAATTAATTTTTTTAGACTTTGATTTATCGAATGTGGTTTTTTTTATCTGAGGGGTTTTCTGTTTTTTATCAGTTACACTTAAATCTGATTATAAATGTGCTAGTCATTTTTTATGTCACTGAAGTCAAATTCAGAAATGAAGTCTCAAGTCTATTATGCGATTCAGTTTACTTTTAATTTTCATTTTTAGTGGCTGTAATGTCATAGCCTTCAAGGCACACAGCAGAAAGAATAAAAACACTTGGAATTTTCCAAATAGAGCTCAGCTTTGTCAATGTATGTCAATTGGTGTAACAGAATAAACAAACAATTTTATCAAGAAGGTACATACAGTCTCAAATGTATCGTGTAGTCCAGAAGACTGGTTTTGGATTTTTATCAGCTTGCATATTTATTTTTGCCTTTTATCTGCAATTTTCTTTTGAAGGACAGCAGTTATTCTTCAGCATAAGGATTTTGTTTTAAAATATTTTTCCTCTCCAGTACTGAAACCAGTGGTGGAACTGCTGAGTGATCCAGATTATATTAACCGAATGCTACTCAGCCAGCTGGAGTACAGAGAACAGATGAATGAGCATCAGAAGAAAGACTACACATATGCTCCTTCCTATGAGGAGTTCATCAAGCTCATTAACAGCAGCTCCGATGTTGAGTTCCTGAAACAACTGAGGTATTTAATGTTTCACTGTAGCTCATTCAAAACTAAACGTGCTTCTTTCGCAAGCCCATTACTGAGATTTGAATGAATTGTGATGTCTTCTTTTTAAATTCAATTTTAGATTTCTTTTGCTGAAGCAGAGACAGTAAGCACGATAAGCCACGGCATTTGTTAAATTCTAATGTAGTCAGCTTTTTAGTTTGGTGGCAGAAAATGTTAAAATATTCCACTTAGTAGTATACTAGAGATGACTGTACTCTTGAAGGGCATACCAGCCCTTTCTTTACAGCTTGCCTCTGTGGAGTTAGATTAAATAATATGTTGAATTTCCACTAGTGTGTCGTTACCTCCTCATTATCTTTCTAAAGTATGTCTGACCATGGTGGTCTGGTGACTGAACTGTAGTGACACTATGGACACTGGGCATTCAGAGCAGCTTGCTGTGATTCTGTGACATGGAAGGGGGTTTGAGTTCCAGCACATTTTACTGCTGGACCAAAGGTTCTCCTGGACTGTTGCAGGCAGGCGTTTTCCAATTGCATCCTTCTTAAAAATGTTAATGAACTTTGAAGAATTCCTTAAAGACCAAAAAAACCCCACCGAGCTCCTACGTATCGTGAGTTTGTTTGATGTTTCTATTTGCTAATGCAAATAGCACCTGCTCACTTCCCTACTAATTCCACCCCCCAAAAAAAATCTCGTATCTTTTCCTTCCATTTTTCATCATAACATGAGATACTGCTTGCATCTGAAGCTACTCACCCAAGTACAAGATGTTTGTGCTTGCCTTATCTTCATAGCTGAGCCTGTTTCTCCTCTGATTTAAGTGAAAGGGTGAGGAACAAGTGACTGGGAAACAGGGAACAGAGATACTACTGTTGTAGGATGTCCCTAGATGTTCTTGAGTTGGTTTTGTTGAGCACTCCAAAGCTTTGGAGGGCTGTTGAGGCCATTTCCAGAGTGTTTGTCCTAACCTGTTTCCACCAACCAGAACTGGTGTTTTTTACTCTTCCCTGGCTCCCTTCAATTGCTGGTGCAGGTCAGCTTTCTCTCTTCCTAAATGGCTGCAACAAAATTGAAAAACAGAAGCACATGGATCCCATTTGGTGCACTCTGTGTCATCTTTTGTGACCCAGACCTTCTATTAGACTTGCCTTAATGAGGCCAAGTGATGGTTTACTGAGATGGAGTATGTGGGCTGCATAAATAACATCTTACTCTCTCTTGTTCTTTGGTTCTGAAACCACTTGCATTTCTGAGATAGGAAAATAGATTTAGGTGATGGTGAAATAGTTTTGTTGCTTGGCTACTTATTGTTCATGTGCTATAAAATTTGCTCTTTACTCTGGCCCAGTGTGCCTTTCCTGAGAGCAGAAATTAGTCTCTATTGGACTCTGTCTAAAGCCTAATTGACATCATGTTTATTAGCATAATCACGCTAATGGATGTGCTTGTTTCAAAAGAAACCCAACTCTTCTGTTGTTGTTGTTCAGGCACATTAATGCTCAATGTGTGCTCTTTTTAGCTGATAGGTCACTTTAAATTGTGTTCTTTAATACCAGATAGCAAATTTGCTTTATGAATAATGCACTTTAGGCTGCTCTTAGGTTTTTCCTTTCCAGCCTGTGGAGTCCAACTATCATCATCTTAAAATGTGTTCCTCTACACCCTATGAAACGTTGATCAGTCTGAGCTGTTCACTATTTGAATGGAAAATGCCTGAGAAAATGTATCTTCTTTTTGAAGAGAAATAACATTTGATTTTGGAGGCAACATTCTTCCTTCCTCTCTTTGTATAGAGCCAGTCTCTGGGAAGGTGGTTAAAGAGTGTTCCCCTGTGGGAGGAAGACTTCCTGTTCTCTTTGTTCTCCAGCACTGTGGTAGCACCTGCAGAGAGATAGGCCAACCTGTAGTCATCTCAAAGTTATGTAGTAAATTTTGCAAAGCTCTCATGATTTACCAGTGAAAGTTCACAGATTTATGTAAAGAAAACTGAACAGTGGTCCCTACATGCATTTAAAAAAAAAAAAGTGATATTTTAGAAATCTGTCAGACTAAATGAAGTTTCAGGTTGTAATTCACAACGGTGAACCACAGGAAAAATCTATAAAGAAGAAATTACAGAGGAAGACACAAATCAGCCGTTGTGCAGTTATCACTGAGCAATGCGGTTACAGTCTATTGGAGTGACAGGAGCAGGGAGAAAGCTTCCAGTTATTTTCCTACAACAAACAAGTTCCTGGCATGTTGTACTTAAACAGGTTTCCCAGTTAGATGCTATTCTGGGTAACAATATTCTGGTCATCAAAAATTTCTTTTCTTGGTTTTATTTGGAAATCATTTTTCAGTGCCTATTCTAAGCCAGTGCACGGCATTCATGAACTGTAAGCCTCCTCTTATTACTCCTAATGTTGCCATGTAACATCTTGGTAAAGAACAGCTATAAGTAGTAACAATTTTCTGTGTAGGCTTAACTTTGAGGGAAATTTATCCCAAGGCATTACAGTTGCTGGGAAACTCAATATTTTTTTGAAACATCCCTGCCGTGCTTTATCTGGGGCATCTGTCGATGCCCCATCTCTGGCAGTGTTCAAGGCCAGGTTGGATGAGGCTTTGGGCAACCTGGTGTAGTGGAGGGTTTCCCTGCCCGTGGCAGGGGGGTTGGAACTAGATGATCTTTGAGGTCCCTTCCAACTCTAACCATTCTATGATTCTATCTTTGGGAAGTTAAATACTATCTGTTTACTAAAATAAACGTAAAATTTCAATGAAGAAATGCTCAATGAAGGAGGCCATAAGGCATTGATTAACATTTCCTCAGACTCTGGACTCACCATAGTCAAGAAAACATGGACTGCTGGGTGCTCCTTGATGTGTGCACGTGACATTACCAGAGAGACGTCCCATAGGCAGCCTTCTGGACTGACTTCATGAACAGAGTTTAGCAAAACTTTCTTGTGATTAGAACCAGGTATTTGTTATGGGTTAAGTAGGAAAAAATACCTAGCTGGATCAGTGGAAACCCGTGAGTGAAGGGTGTTTGTTGCTCTTGGCTGGGAAATCAGAAAAGAGGGTGAGGCTGTGTGTGGTGGATCTCCTTGTAAGCAAGCCTACCAGCTCTCTGCCTTGCAAATAGCTCAGCTTGAAAGGCTAGTAATGGTACTAGGGTTTTCTAAATCTTTTTTATCTCTTGGCTTAGAAGAAATACTGCATTGATTTTTCTGCATTGCTTTTATGGATTTTATTTTTAGAACTTATTTAAATGATGGAGGAACTACTTAATAATTTTGGAGATACTTTTAAATTCACGGTTCATTAATATCTATAATGGGCCTCTAACATTTGGTCACTTTATCTCTTAGCAGAATTTCTCTATTGTGTTTGTGGAAACATCTCTTTCATATTCATAAGGGACATTTGAGGAGCTGATGTTTATTTTCATAAAAAGTCATTTACTCATTTCTGAGAAGCTATTTTGTCCCTTTCCCTGTCCCTTTCCCTTGCACTCTCTCGCCCCATACCTTTGCTTTCTAAAACTTTAGATTTGTTTGAGGGGAAAAAACCCAACAAACCAACAAAGCTTCCAGAGAAGAGGACTACTGTTTCGTTATCTATGAACATCCTTTAAAGTCACTCTTTATAATATTTACCTTTATTGGTTGTCATGAAGGGAGGCAGAGTTTTATTCCTGTTTTATCAAGTCTTCACAGAATGCATTGTCCCTAATTTTTTCAAGAAGAAGAAGTTGTACAGTGAAATTTCACCTTCTTTTCCCCTTAGATTTAAGTTAGCATGGATAAATTCGAAGTCTGCTGCAAGTAAGGAAGAAAAGATGAGTTCTTCCACATCAAATGTGAAACAAATATACTTGCTCTGTCAGAAGAAGACTAGAGATAAAAGACATGATGAGTTAAAAACATAGCTGAGAATAAATAATGATAAGGAAATAAACTGTTGTATAGTTTTCATTCTGCTTTCAAGATCAGCACTACGTTTATTCTGTTATTTATTAGTATAGCAGCAAAAGGTCACTACACAATTTATGATAAGAAAGACCATTATTGCTGGGTCTGTGTCATCTTTTAGTTAAGAAATGAAGAAAAGGGGTGAATATAACAAAGAATAGGGAAGAGATAATAGTGGGAAGTAGACGTAATGTGGATGTGAGCTGGGAAGGTAGAGGTAATGTGGATGTGAGCCCATAAAGTTGATGAAAGAAGTGCACGTGGAAGAAGGGGAATGTATTTCAAGGATCACAGACTTTCTTAAACAGAGAATAAGTAGTCATGGAAGTAGCAGACTTTCTAGACATCTTCAGCCTTCATCTAGGAGATAACTTGATGGATGAGGTTAGGGAGCTTCTACAGGAATGAGTTAAATTCACTTGAATACTTGCTTAATTACCAATATTAATAGCTGCCAAACTAAGTGCACTGAGAGGAATTTGAGAGTTTGTTATGACCAGAACTTTGATGTTTATGAAAGATTTAACTGGCAATTTTTTTTGCTGAGTGCATGGAGTCTGTTAGTTACGAGATTGGTTTTACTTAAAATTCAGATTACTAACTGCATTAGCTGTCGTCCATTATGTGTAGTATAGTTTTAGGTGATAAACAAGTTTTAATTATTCCTGGGCTGTAGTACTTTAGTGTTTTACTTATTTTAGTGTAATATTTTTTTCCTTCTCCTAAGTTACAGTATGCTCCATACGTGTATTGAGTGCATTAGCTAGAAGAACCTTACAGACAACTCTTGCTTTTGAACTGAATTCCTGTCCTAGTTTCCTGCAGAAATATTTAATGTTAAGAGCATGACTTTACATAGTGTTTTCTGAGTATTATTAACTTGCTGTGCAGTGCCAGCATTTGAGAGAAGGGGGCAGTGTTATTGTTAGTTGAATGTTTTTTTCCTTTTATTTCAAGATAAACTTTTTTCCCTACTCTGCTCCATATGCATGCTGCTCTTTAGGTTGCAGACACACTGACAAATGACCCTCTTTGCAGGTGAGGAGAAGGTGGAAGTGTTTTGGGTTTTATCAGTTCTTAAGTGTACTGTATGAAGAACACATTGTGAAAAATTAATACCATGTTTTCTCTTCTCCCTCTTCACCCTTATCCCCTACTGTTTTTAAAACTAGGTATCAGATTGTAGTGGAAATAGTTCAGGCAACTACAATCAGCAATATTCCCCAAGTGAAGAGGCAGAAAGGTAAGATTCCATTTTGTTAAGTCACATCTGTTGTTTTCATTTTGAAAAGCTGTTTGAACTCCCGACATACATATGCAATCAGTATGTGTGGGATTTTTAGACAGATTTTAGGAATGCGATGCCTTCAGTATTTCGGTTCTGTTTCATTTGTCTGATTCTTCCAAAAACTCCCATGGTGTGATTATTCCCCGCTCCCCATCTTCGTCTAAGCTGATGGATCATGAGAAAGGTCATATCTATGATGCATTTATTTTCAGAACTTGCTGCAACTAGGATTTTTGGCATTAAAAATTCGTATGCTGAAAATCTTGCTTCCTCTTTCCTTTTCATACGATCTGTTCTTCAAAGTCTTAGTCTCTTCTGCTTTCAAAATACAGAAGAAGGAATGATACAGCATAATTGTCAGTCAGACTTTATTTTGACTCTTCATTGCATTATGTTGTTGCATTGCAATACAGAGTGCTCTTAAATCATTCTGCAGTGTTTTGGCAACATCTGCCTTTTAAAATGCACATGCATCTTACATTTGTACTTACATTTATTACATATACACTGCTCTTTATGGTTCTGAAAATGTACCAAAACCATGGTATATCTTCAGGACGTTGTATCGATGGTGAAATTACAGACCAAATTTTTGCTTGGACTGATATACTTAAGGTATATCTAAGCATAATAAAAAACAATTGACAATATTAATTTGTTTGTAAACAAAGAAATCTAGAAGATCTTACTTTTAGGTTCTCATGCAATCTCTGGCAGGTTGAAAAAAAATATTCTAGCTGCTTATATCACAAAGGAAAGCTTTTAAAAGGGATTCAAGTGTAAGGAAAAATGCAGAAACAGAAAATAAACATGGTGAGGTGGGGAATATCTTTGGTCAGTCTGAAGAGTTTGGAGTCCATGCTCAGTTTTCTGAAAGTATAAGGTTGTCAACACTGATACACCTTTTCTTTAAATCTAAAATAGAGCTAGATGTGCATTCCTATAGGATAAATTGCTTGTGTCAAACCAAGGCAAAAGGAAAAGTAGGCTTTGTTTTTTGCTGAAGTATACATTACAGGAAGAGATATTAGTATTTCTCAGATGAAAGTTAATTTAATGGAAAATGTGTTTCATAAAGTAATAAAATGGTAACAGGGAAGTTAACTCCGAGTACATTACGAAAAATCAATCTCTCTAAGCCTGTATTTCCATTTGTGCTGCCATTGGTCTTTGTTGTGACAAGGATTGATTTGGGGAATGTTTTTATACAGTTTAGGTTCCTACGATTAATTACTGTCTCTCCTCTGTCTCACTTGAGTTTATCTAGTTAACTATCCACTGTTCTAAACCCTGAACAGAAGGTGTTTTTCTGAAGCTACAAGTTCCTGATACTGCAGAGTAGATATAAAAAGGTTATTGCTATTTATTCTGCCAAAGCAGATCTGGTTCCACTTACTCTGTGCTGAATTTGGTTCTGCATTTTTATGGGCTCTTGACTTTTACCTGTATTAAAAAAATTCAGGCAAATTCTACTAGCTGGAGCACTGAAGTTTTGTGTTAATGTATTTGACATTCATTATTAGTTTAGTTCTATGGCAACGTTGTATGCCAGTTAGGAGTTGATTACCACTGCTGGCCATATTGGCCAGTGGAGCTATTGTGGCTAAGCCTTTTATTTATTAAATAGCCAATGGTTATTTACATTGTGCCACAAGAAAAAGGTGTCATTTTTTGCTTGATGTGTGGAACGGTATGTCCAGCAAAGGCATACAATACAATCTTATTATATATAGTTTACACAAACTTAAGGCAGATTTCTAATCTGTTTGAGTTATTCTGCTAGGGTTTTCATCTACCAAAAATTTTCAGGCTCAGTCTATGTACTGTTAACTTTAAGAGGGCTATCAAAACTGTAGAGGGTTAAAATCTAATTCTGAAGGCTTTTTTGTGTCTTGTTTTTCCTGAAGTAGGTGGAAACATTTTTCCTGATGTGGGAATGATTTAACATGTTCGTGAATTTTAGGAAGAAAAGTTTAAAGAAAAAAGCTGTGCTACCTTCCTTAGAACGAAAGAAAGCCAACAAAAACCCCAGCACAGCTCACTGCTGATACAAAGATTGTTGAACTCTTGTAGAACAGACCACCACATTACTGGTGTCACCTTTTCATGTTTCCCTTTCTGGGTGCCACAGCGTACTTTTGCCCCTGCAACAACTGGGTTTCATGGTGAATAACTAAATGTGAGCTTTTTAGGAAGTATGGAAAATGGAAAGTATGTTTGCACAATCTATCTTTTTCTTTTTAATCTGGTCCCCTAATACCTGCTGCATACCTGTAATAATGTGTGTGAGCGTGGGTGTTCGATGCATATGACAGTCTCCTCTTTCCTGGTAGTAAATGAGCTCTTGCCTTTTGTGTCAGGGGCATCTCTTAGCTTTGATTCCAGCCTGGTGAGAGAGTGTCTTACTGGTAGCTATTTCCTTCTTCCTATGGCAAAGTTGAGTCCTGAAAATGTAACTCCTTCTTTACTGCCTGGATGTTCAGCTAGAGCAGCTGAACTTCGGCTGGCCAGCAGTCTGTCAAGTCTGGTATTTGCTGTCAGACTGTAAGAGCAGAGCAAGTGTAGGATAATATGTAGATGGATGTAGTCTCAGCCTCCATCAGTTTGAGTCATGGGAGCTTCCCGAGGCATCGTTTTCAGTAGGAAAAGGTACAGCAACAAATGTGAGGAGCACTTAGTGTGGTAGGAGTGGCCAATACTCTGCAGCAGTGAGTGCTTAGCTACTGTCTAAGCAAAGTAAGTGTTGTGCAAGTGCATGACTAGCAATAAAGATGCCTGAGCAAGATTGTGTACCTTTGCTGTTGGTTGAGGAGACATAGTAAAGTCTCTAAAACTGGCTGAAAAGATTTAGTTTATAAAAAGATTAGGTGTCTGTTATTAAAGGACGAGTAGCCTGAGGACCGGGTTTCAGACCGATGACTTCTCATGTGAGCTGCAGTTGCCTGACTTCTTTTACTATTTTGTCTGGTGATAGCGAAGTATGCGTTTGATGCAGGTGCCCAGAGGGGTTGGAGAGGAAGGCTTGTCCCTCAGCAAGGACAGGGCTCTTTACACTTAATTTAACTACTGTTGGTGCCACCTATTGGCAAAATATTTAGCTGTTAGAGCCCTCTAATAAAAGCAGAAAGTACTTTAAAGTACTTCTAAACATCATTGTATTAAACCCTCTGTAGTAAAAAATGGCATGTTATAGGGTCTTTTTTCTTTTCAGATTTCTGTCACTTGAGTCTTCTGGCATGTGAGCATAGGAGAGCAAAGGAAAACGTACAAAAGCATCTGATTCATGTTAAGCAGTAAGTTTTGCATTTGACTCCCTGGGAGAGTCAAATGTCCTAAAAGGTTGAGACGCAAAATAATTGGAGTGCTTCACCATATGATGCCTGTTGTGGGTGGATGCTATAATGTCTGTGGCTGGGAGAATTGCTTCTGGTCATTGCTAAAGCTGAATAAGAAACCTAAAGAAATGTTAGTGTTTTCAGAGGTGTTGATGGTTTATTTTTGGAGTGGTACAGGCCGCTGTAAATAGAAGCTGTTATCTTGCATGCTGACACTGTGCTACTTCCTTCATTTACACTTGCACAGAACTGCTGATTCTGGTGTGTATGTGCATCTGTGTTACTTCTCCAAACCGTGTCCTCCTATGTATCCTCTTCCAAAGTAGTCAAGGTCACTCCAGCAGTGGGTGTAGGAGGTGACTTGGGTTTGGTTGGTTTTTTGTGGCGGTTTTTTTTTTTCAGCTTTGTTTTTTCTTCCTGTCAATATTTTTGGACTGTGCTCTTCTCTACAGTCACATGTGCTCTGGTTGGAAGAATCATATCTTTCTACATCTTTAACTGTAAAACTCTCTCATCTTGTCTTTTGATAAGGACTCCTTGGAACTATTGAATCAAATTTGAGCTAAATTTTAGGTATTTTAGGGTTTTTTTACAAAATCTATGTCTTAAAGATTTTGAAGGACAAGAAGTGCTTATCTGAAAATGTTTACTGCGTTTTGATCTAGTAAAGTAGTTTGTAAGAGGATAAATATGCAGATCAGGCATTGTAGCATGAGTGAGAGAGGACCTGAATTTCTCAAAGCAAGAGTAGATCCTAATTTTCCTAAAGAGAAAGCTTCAAAAAACAGTAATGATGTAACAACGAAAGTAAGTTGCTATAATAATTTGATGTTTGCTGTAATGTGAATAAGAAACTGTTTAAACACACTAGTTCTAATTTTAACAGACACGGTTTATTTCTTCTCCTACTGATATTATGTTACAGGATCCTACAAGAATTTTAGCAAGGATCACTTTTTGCTAGCTGCTATTTAAAACAAAACCAAAAATCCATGAAGGCATGTACCTTGTCTTAGGATAAAACAGAGCAAATCTCTCAACAGATTTTTTTTTTTAGTATTGTTTTTTATTTTTCCCCAACACTCTAAAGGGATTTGTTTGATTTACCTTCTGATTTTCTGTGCCTTCTACCTTACACGTGACTTCACACTATGGCCAGAAACCACCCTCGAGTGATGGGATGGAACTGTTTTTCAGACACCACATTGTAATCAGCCAGAGGGCATCCCTGTTGAGAAAACTGCTCCTTTTCAAGCAGGGATTGCAAGACAGATCGAATAAGCAGCCATTTCTGTATGAAGAGATCCTCTGTGTTGCAGTAGAAGATTTCTCCTGCTGAGCATCTCGATATTTACTTTTGTAAGTGGAGCTGATGACTGGTACAGAAACAGAACTGTCTGTGAGCAGGCTTTTTAGGTACTGTGGTTCTGAAAGAGGCTTGAATGTTCGGCTCTAAAAAGGGAGTTTTCTTTTAGAAACTGGGGCTCTAAGCTAGCTGGAGTGTGTGGGTTTTGTCAAGATAATAACGTAGGGTGAAGTAAATTGGATACTTCTGCATTCCAGCGCATTACAGATGCCACCTAACTTAATTATGACAAAACTATATTATGATTCCTCCCCCTCCATCCTCCACACAGGGATAAACATGCATACACAGTTACTTTTGCGTAGCTTCTTGGCAAGGCTTGAAGAGCTACTGTTGCGCTGGCACACTGTGCTCAAGCAGTAGGTGTAGAGGGAATCCATGTGGATGAAGGTGGTGAAGGTTACTGTGACTCCGATCGTGGTTTTGTTTTGAATTGTGCTCATTTGTTTTGAATTGTGATTGGTTTTTTTTTTTTTCAAATCAGCTCCATAGAGGAGGGTTGCCTTGCTCCCCCTGAGATTGTTTGTGTGCTAGTGATGCGTCTTGTCCACGGTTGGTTTGGAGAGATGCCCATCAGTGAAAGAAGGGAAGAGGCTGACTGGTTAGACAGAAGTGGCCAAGGGGTATGTGGAGACTCACAGACAGAGGCTTTATGTGGTGGATGTTATTCTGTTGCATAGTACATGCATACTCCTATGCTCAAATTTACCTTACTGCCACTTAGCTTTTTGTTGTGCTCAGCTGTGGCTGTGAAAGGGGAGGCTATGTTGCACCATGTATCGCTAATGATCAGTGCCTAAATTCTCCATGATCTCCCTTTAAGTCCTTTCCCCCAGATCTGTTGCCTGAAGTGTTTGGGATATAGTGCTTTTTTCACTCATTCTGTTGTCTGACCACAGAGCTGGTTTTCCCTTTGCTTGTAGCAAGGGCAGTGGAACTGTGTGTACTGTTCTTCTCAGTCTAGCCTGCTCTTGCAGAATTGAACAAATACTTTTCCAGGCCTACGTGGGCTTTGAAAATGTGTAATTTCACAGTTTCTGAGAGTTCAAAGAGGTCTGTAATGATTGGTAAATTATATATAAAAGGTTACAGTTACTATTCTTGTGAAAATGTTAACTTGGTGTTTGCTACTTAAATACTTCAGCACAACATTAAGTAGGCACTGCGTGTGCTTAACTCGGCTCTCGCAAAAAGTCTTCAGGAGCACACATGATGTTGTGCATGTGCATAGCTCCTTTGGAGACGAGTCAGATGAGTCAGTGCTCTTGTACGTGCTGCCAGGTGTCAGGTATCTGTAGATCTTGAAGCTGTGAAAGAACAAGAACTTGTGCTTCCAGTTTTAATCATGTTTTTGCAATATAACTTTGCAGTTAAGATGAGAAGTCTTTGTTTTATGCTGCTTCTATCAAGAGACAGGACAGTTTATGAAGTACTGTGATACAATTTAGTTCATTCTTTAAGTAGTCTTTATGTATTGTATCAGTCTTTGTTTACGTTATTTTTATGTTGTGTCATTCGCTGTGGTATGTGGTAATAAAATTTGTATGACATTCGATGGCATGATTATCTTTTGCAAGGCCCAACATTCTGTCTGAAACACGGATGATGTGAATATATACTACAGTTTAATGTATTTAGTGACCAGGTAGCAGAACTACCAAAAAAGAAGAGTAAAGAAAATTAGGTCTGAGGAATCCATTCTCAGAAATGTTTTTGGTAGGTTATAGGATTTGCTTCTGGCCTAGTTCAAATCAGGGTGATTATGAGAGATGCAGAGGAAAATGTGGAAGCTTTGTCAGAAATCACTCTAGACATGCAAAAGCAGATGCAGTAAAAACGATTTGCACGATCTTAGCTTTTATTGCTTCGTAAGTTTGAGCTCATTTGGACCTTTTATGTTTTAATATTATCCAATACAAGTTGTATTATCCACAGCTGTGGATTGATAAGCAGAGTTTGCAGTTCTGCTTTTGATTGCATTGTGATGCCTTTGAGAGGGGTGCACAGTACCCCTCTGGGGTTTTAAAGTTCCTCCATGGCAGTGCTTGTCTTATCAAAGTTACCCTGATAAGGAGAGAATTATTTTGGAGGAAGTTGCTAAAAGACCCTTTGGCTCCTTTCAGGATGGAGTCCCCTACTCAGCTGTTTCTGGAAAAAGTGTATGCAACTGATATGGGGAGGAGGTGCCAAAGAAACATCTCTCTTGTTTTGCTGATAAAGAGTGGGTTATTTGTGTGTTTTTAATAATAGCAGTATAATCTCCAAATGGTAAAGTTGTTACTAATAAAAAAAAAATCCAAAGGATGTGTTTTCTTTCCATGCATAGTGATGAAACTGTTTTGCTTAGTAGCATATATCTATTCCTCTTCCCTTTATTGGAGCTTGACGAAGGGTATGTGAGTAAAGACAAGGCTTTTCTTTTTAACTTTCTAGTTCTATTTAGTTTATGCAGTGATACTTGAACGTAGTGAATGTCTTCTGTGCTGATATTCAGAGATGGCAAAAAAGGCTCTTATTTATATCTCAGTACTTTAGTGGTGGGGAGATAGGGCAAGAATAGATTAAAAAGGGAAGTTGTTTTTATAGCTTGAAATATGTTTTTGATAGGGCTTAATAAAAAAGAAAAACCACTGAACACCAAACCCAGAACAGTTTAGATCTGAAAAATCTGCGAATTCTCAAAAAACCTCAAAAGGAGGTTAGGGTTAGAAGAAAACCAGTGATACTCCTGACCTTCCCCAGTTGACATGAAGATGCTCTTTCTGACTTCTGCTAGCTTATCTTTCATACTTTGGAAGAGGAAAGTCATGTTCAGTGTTTGTCCACGCTCCCACGCCATCTCTCCTGCACTGCAGCGCATTAGCCACGCTCCGTGCTGGGCTGCTCTTCATCAGCCTCTTGTTTATTTGTGAAGGGATGTCGCTGCCAGGCTTTCACGGTGACTAGTGCTGTTTATCTATGGAGCAGGAACAGGCTGGCAGTGTGATCTTCATCACTCTGAGTTTTTCACACTTCATCCCCGAGTTTTTCTTACATGGAGTGGCTCCTTGTGGCTGTGAAGAGCTGAGTGAGGCAAATGTTTTTGAAGGATCTTTGCTAATAAAGTAATTAATTGCCGGAAGCAGGTGGGATGTGGGGCTCATTAGTCTCTCCTGGAGGCCTGCTGCAGTCACAGGATGATAAGAGTTCAGATAAAGTAGACATGGTTACTTTGAAAACCCTCCAAGAATGCCTTATTTTCACTAAGAAAGGTGCTTTGTTTTAAGAAGGCTGAATGATCATTGCGTGGCACTGTTTGTGGGTTTTCAAAGTGCGAGGTGTCAAGTATGTGTTTTGAGCCTGAAGTATTTAAACTATTTAGAGAATTGAGAAATTTAAAAAATTATCTTAGAGTCAAGTGCAGGAGGGGAAATGTTGGGTTTTAATCTTCACTTTAAACTACTGTCCATGTATTTGTGTTAGCTGTAAATGTTTTAAATTGAGGAGGAGAGCTATTTTGTCCTTAAGGTCTTTTTCTGTCTTTTTCTCTCATTAATGCTGGTACCTCTGGTCAGGGAACTGAAATGCTAAATTAAATGCTCTGTTGACTTTCCTGTGGAGATAACATGCCAGGAAAACAGATGGCTTATTTTTTTTTCATGGTAAACTCATTTTATCTTTTGCTTCAGTGAGTATCATCTCTGTAGTTCTCTACTATACTGGAGCTCAGATGCAAATGATACTTGTCCATTAAAAGAGTAACAGTCTTTGAATCAGGAATATTCCCTACCAACATACCTAAATACATGCAGCGAATAAAGAGAGACTACAAATATGGGAAAAGATGTTGGGAGAATATCTGTACTCAAATTACATGTAGAAATTCAGGGAGCTCTGTGTACCTTGAGTTGTCTGTCAGTATACAAGTGACAAAACTTACGGTCACATGCAGTAGTTACATGTGGCTTTGAGGAGAAAATAAAAGGATGAAAACAATCCTAAAAGAAACAGGTACCTTAATGTATTAGAAATGTGTTTAAAATAGCTATTTTAAATCATTCCTAAGAGATTTCCTTTTTCTGTATTGTATGCATTCACAAACCTAGCTGTCTGGTTGTTTCTTTACAGCAGCTCTCTTGAAAATGGGACACTGTTTTCATCTGCGTCATTTTACTGGCATTTAACATTTTGAAAACAAAGTAGAATAGATCTCTATTATTTATCCCTGAGCAATCAGTTAATCCAGCACCAAGTACAAGCCAAGTTCTTTGCTACCGAGCTCTAGTTGCAGCCTGCAGAAGCAGGAGTATTATCATTGAACAAGAGGAAAACAAAACCAGTGTATAAATGTGAATAAGTTGCATCCTGCAGATATAAAACAGGAATAATTTCAGTGCAGTAGAGTTTTTTCAATCTACTTTCTCTGCTGCTGCCTTTTTTAGGCCCTGATGATTAGCTGAAGAGGCTAGAGTGTAGACTACACAAACATTGCACCTTTTATTACCAAGTCTTGTTCAGCTGACTGGCATCTTCGTGTTACCTCAGTATTTAACAGTACTGTGCAGTCTCGACGTGGCATTGTAAATTTTTTTTTTTTTCCTTAGTCATCTGACCATTTCGAGTGAGCTTTGGTCAGTGTTTTTGTCTGGAGGAGACACTGTATGATGTGCTGTTCACATCAGGCTCTAGAAATTTGGACGTGCAAATGAGATACTTGAGAATGTGTCATGCTGGCCTGGAGGGATTGAGTTGAGTCCCTCGTGACTGTAGGTAGTCAATATTATGTTCAGTAAGATACGTAAGCTGTCTTCTCCGTGTGTTATCGTAGACCGTGGCTGTAGGTAACTTCCCAATGCCATCTGATAAATGTACATCCTGTAGTACAAGTCTTGGACTTGTGACTTGCAAGAAGCTGTGAGAAGAGAGCTGGAGGGGTCAGATTTCACTGGACATTTGAATAAAGATTTTTTTCTGAACTGTATGTAAACCCTTGAGGTATCATTGGAGAATGTTTTGAAATCGTCATTCTGTTTCAAATACAAACTCTTCAGTATCCGTGGTCATGTGCATAGTTGATTCCTGAATGACCAGTGCTTTGATCAGGCAGGTCACGGGGGCAATGGTGCAACGACGTTTTCATGTTGTAAGTCTGTCTGTGATTTGCTTTATTCTTAGATTCAAAAGGAAAAGAAACTGCGGCGATGAAAGCTGACCTACTGAGGGCTCGCAATGTGAAGAGGTATATTAATCAGCTGACAGTGGCAAAGAAGCAATGCGAGAAGAGAATAAGACTCCTGGGAGGGCCTGCTTATGATCAGCAGGAAGATGGCATTTCTGATGAAGGAGATGGCCCTCAGAGTCAGAAGGTATAAGTCGAATAGCACATGCATTGCCTGAAGGTCATTCTAAATGTGTTAGTGCTGGATCGTATTAGCCTCAATGTCATTAATCCCTCACTTCCCCCAGGAGTCAAGTATAAATTAATTACTCCCCAGTTTATCTTGGGAAAAGATCACTGAAGTACCCGAAAAGACATACTGATCACTCAGCTTGGAATATTGCTAAAGGTGAAGCTTCATGAAGGATCGAGTGGCTTGTAAGCATGTGTGATTTTTCAGACATACTGCGTGTAGGGGGTTAATAAGGACGTGGCAGTGGCCTTTCTGAAGGTAGCAACTTGCTTTGAAATAAAAGATTGCCAATGTGTGTGCAACATTTCTCTGGCCCTTGTTATGTTTACTGTAGGAACTACCTGTGGGTTTTGCAAATACCGAGTTATTCAAAAGCAAACACTTCCTTGTGGAAAGCAATTGACAAATTAAGGGCAGTCATTGCAGGAAACCTCTGGTAAAGCTGTTGGCTGAATGCTGTACAACATTCTGTAGTCTGGAATTGAAAAAACTACTGTTGTATCAGCCAGCATCTAAAAAAATGAAATTATGGCTACTTATTGTTGCTAAACTTTTAATAAGTTTAGTGGGTTCCTTGTGTAATCTACTCTGTTCCATTTGGGCAAAGCACAGTAATGGATGTATTCAAATTGCAAAGAAGGTTTTTACCTTTTCGTGTAGGTAGAAGAGAAGTGATCTCTTCCTGCAGGGATCTTTAATTTTTGTTATGTCCTTATAATAATTGTAACTTAGTGGCACGTAAGAAGAAGTTGCATGACGGATAAATAGTTCCTGCTATTTGTGTTTTGTCTTTCTTGAGTAAGGTCTGAAAGAGCAATTCCCCTACCCCTGACTAATCCTTAAAGCATGATTTCAGATGGTGTGTCATAGATTGTGCCAAGGCAGTCCTGATCTGTTTCCTGAAGTTGGATGTAGCAAGAGATGCCAAGGAGAAAAGGAAAGAGGGAAGCATGTGGCAGCACTGCATGAATCACTGATGCCACTTTCGGTGCCTGCTGGGGTGTTACGGACTTTCCAGTGTAGATACATGGTGACAGAAGATTGTTCCAGAACAGGAACAAGTAGTGAAGCTGCACTGGATAGTGGCAGGGATTGGTCAGCAATATCAAATATAATATTATTATACTGTAAAATCAAAGGAATTCCTGTTGTTAATGTTGCATGATTTATGACCTGATTGATTTTTGGTGGCAGCTGCTGACCCAGGGTTCCATCTTGCAAACATACCCATGAGTAGCTCTGCATTGAGTTAATAGTACCGTTAATAGGAATAAAGACTCCTTGCACAGGCATTTGTTGTAAAGCTTTTGATGTGATTCTGTGAAGAAGCCCTAGAACCCCTCCATACCCATGTCAGAGCAGAGAATAACAGAACTGTTTCTCTTTTCTGTTGTCCCAACTCCCTGTTGCCAGTAAAGAGGCTGAGGGAGGCTGAATGAGAGACAGAGGCCACATGTTCTCTTCTGAGCACATAAAAATGCCCAGAGGTTGGCAGAGGAAGGGGACTCTCTCACTGTTGCTTCTTGCCATTCTCTTCCTGCACTGTGGTAGCTGCAGTCCGCGTTCTTGTTTCAAGGCAGACAGTGCTATTCTGGATGCTGGCTCCTCCTACCTGGGCAGTATTGACTGAACACTTGCCTTTTTCGAAGCAAAAGGGAAAGATGCTCTTTGAGAGTTAGTAGATAAGCTAATGTTAGTATGTCACTGCTGATGGCCCATAACTTTTCTTTAGAGCCTGGCTGTGCCAGCTTTTCTGCTAAGCCAGCACTTAACCTGCAGAATAACTAGCTTGTGTAGAAGAAACTGAAAGTTTGCGTTCCTTTCTTCAACTTGCATGAAATAGGTCAGAAATGGGCATTTACTGATGGTGGTTTGAATTATTACCTTATGTAAGTGTAGTACAGAAGCTTGAATACATTCTAAACTTTGAGGAATTTTTGGTACTAGTTGAACAATGAACAAATAGACTAATGGCTAAAACTCGTATTTTAATTTCACTTCTGCATCCTACAGAAAGCTTTCTTTTTCCTGCAGTTGTAGGGGAATAATAGCATTGCTGGTAAATAGTGCATGTTCTGGTTATGGGTTTAAATGTGAAGATGGATTATTTGGAGCTGTCAGTGTTCTTGTCTTACAGATTTAAGAAACAAAAATTATGTGCTTTGAAATACTTTTTTTCCTTTCATAACAGAAGTTAGTTATAAAACAGTGTGAGTTTTTTGTTTGATAAATACATAAAAGTCAGGGACTGTGTAGACTTTGCACGTATTTCAGTCACCTCATTATCCTGAATCTGGATTCTCTAGGGAAATCCTGAATGTGTGAATTATAATCAGATGTTTATAAGCAAGCGAACAAACGAACCCCAGCTACTCTCTGAATCTGAATTCTGTCATTAGCTCTGATACTGATTTATATTCTGGCCTGGGTGTTAGATTTACTTTCAGAGAAAATGGAGTTTAAATTAGTACAATATATAAAACATCTCTTCTAATCTACTTATGGACAGTGCAGTTTTAGTCCTTTTTCTTAGAAACTGTACCTGCACAGTACTGCAGTAATTGAGTTCTTGTTGTCTGTGTTTATTCAGCAAACCATTTGTTTAATCCGTTGTATTCAGCGTAACAGCCACATCACCACATCTGTGAGATATGACGTGTGGAGTCACAGCATCTCCTTAGTGGAGCTGTTCTGTGAACCAAGGCTGGCAGGAGGAGCTCTGGGAGTCTGATCCTTGACTAGCTGTGAAATAGCAAGGAAACCACCTGAGTGTATTTTGAGGTGCAGATAGTTCCTTATAGGTAACTAATCATTGCTTTTGTTTCAGCTACTGCTGTATATGACAAAGATATCCTTCTGATGACTTGCCTCTTTTCAAAAAACAACAATAGAACATGTGCTTTAGTTTTAGTCTGTGTACAGACAAAGCCTTAGTCAATAGGTTTTAAAATGCAGCTTGGAAAGTGAGACATATTTTCCCAGTGTTATTTTTTGCGTTCCTCTTATTCCTGTCTTCTACAAAAAAAGAAACAAAACAGATGAAAACAGAAGTCCTGCAGTCTGTGTGCCATCATCCCAGCATAAAATTTCCGTTACTGACTGAAATTCTGTTCACCTCGCCTGTGATCTGCAGTACTGTGTTGTGATTATTCATTATAGGTCAATGAGGTTGTAGCAAATGGGAACCTGGTGTGTTGCAAAGAAACATAGTGCAATGCATCTCTGCTGTGTCTGGTGCCTATATAGGCCCTTCCAAAGTAAGTAGTTGGTTTATGTTCTTCTCCAGAGAAAGGTTGTGACTATCCTTAGGGACTTGCCAAGACCAGGTCTCTGCTGTGTAGGGCCAGGAACAGGACCATTCTGTGTGCATATGCTAGGGATGTTGGTTAAAGCACCCTGCTTGGAAGAAAAAAACCACAAAAACATTAACCCCTTCCTAGTATTTGACAGAGCCTGTGACCAGCTGTGGTGTATCAGTTACTTTCCTGTTGGAGTAGGGAATAGACATGGCAGCAGTAAAGCTGCTGTTTTTTCCGAATCCGGAAGCTGCTCTTGAGTTAAAAGGACTTGGAAGGCTTGCTGTTGAGGCTGATAATTCTAAGATTATATCTGCTAACTGGATATTAGATTTGAGGATGTACACATGCCCTAATGTGTGCGTATGTGCCAACATAGCTTAGAGCTTTGTACTCTAATCCATGGTTATAGTGAATCATAAAATGATCTTTTGCTGAGGATTCCAAAATTACAAATTACTACAGAATCTCTTTCTTTAAATCAGAGAAGGAAGGGTCCTCCACAGAATACTTCCTGGATTGCTTGCATTTTATGATAACTTATCACCTCAAACCTAAAAACCTCTTTTGTCCCTCACTGTTGTCATTGAAGTCTTAATAATGTTTATAGTACAGTGTTTGTAACATACTTAATAATTCCAGGATAGTCAAGCCTTAAACAAACAAAAACCTAAAAAAGGTTTGTGAGGTCTCATTTCTGCAAGAGAAGTTTAAGCTTTTCTGTCTATTAATTTATTTTGTTAGAGTATTTCAGTTTGCAAGGAAACTATTGGGAGGTTTGTGTAACAGCATTATTAGGCACCACCACTTTAATGACCATGGGACACCTGTGCAATGGGCTCTTTGTTAGGCGAGAGGGATGGCTGCACTTGCCTTGCTCCCTGCGGCAGCACTTACCCACAGTTACTTTTTAGAAGGGGGATGTTTGTTAATTAGCCTCTTTACTCGCAGCCTGGATGGGGATACCTTGGATAATAGAGACATAGAGACCAAGGTGACCTTTTACTTAAGAAGTGACAGCATACACTCTGCATTTTGAGTGGTTTATTACCTGTGCTATCATTTGCAGAGCTGACAGTCCCAGAGATGGTGGAGATCTCTGTTCAAGAGGATGGAAGACCTTCTTCTGCTTGTATTTTAAATCATCGTCGTTGATTAAAATGATGGAATAGAGAGTACGATGATGCACAGCAATGAGGCTAAAGTACAGACTGGCCTTTGGATTCTCATCTCTTGTGTTCTTCTCTTTGACAGTCTGATCAGAATGTGCGTAATAAGCCTGGCTTCAGCCACTCTCTCTGTGCTGTTCAATGAGGATTATAGAGTGAGCTCTGAAAGGCAGTTGTTTGTTACGTTTATGTACTTGAATAGATCTTAAGCTAAGACCAAGCCATGTCTGGACGATACTGTTACAGTAAAGGACAAAGAGAGGAATGGCACATGACTGTCACTGAGGAACTTTGAAGGTGAAAATGAGCCTTTCAACTCACAATTTACTTAAACACTGCCCAGAATTTGAGAGAACTGTTTCAGACAAAACATAGGTGACTGCAGTTTTTAAAGAACTTTCTTTAGCTTGGTTCAGTAAGGAGCTTGTGCTAGTAATTGTGTACATGCACGTGTATATGGTTTCCTCCTACACAGCTTGAGTCCAGCAAACCGTTTTTCCTAAATGTATCTTGGTGGTACAGTGTCACAGGTGCTAGGTTTAGGAAAATAGGCAGTCTTCTCAGGGAGAGATGCTAATACATGACCTGATTTGTATTATTATTAGAAATCAGAAAACCCATATTAGAGAAATCATTAGTGCCTCAATCTCAGTTGGAGTTCATGGCTTGCTCCGTACCAGATGATCTTTGCTATAAAATGCAAAGTCATAGGAAGCTAAGAATCATTAGCCTCAGTGCTTAAGGACCTGCTTTTCTTTTCAAAGAAAAAGGTGTGGGTTGGTTGGTGTCTGTGAAGTACAAAGTAAGAGACCGAGACAACTCTGATGTGTTTGGATTCCTGGCAATATAAGTAACAGCACTAAATGAGCTGCATAAAAACTGGTTGAGCTGCTATACTGAAAGTTGGAGAAGGGTTGTTTGGTTTTGATAAGGTGTTTTGAAAATCAGTCTATTTTTCAAAGAAAGCCAAGGTTGTTCATTTTGTTCAACATGAGAACATCTGTTCATTTTGTCAGGAAGATGTTTTCAGGTGTTTTTCTCAAAGAGGCGGCCTGGATTCACAAAAATAGTAGAGGATGCGGAAGCGATAATGTTTTTTCAATCCAACAGCTTAATGGCTGCAGCATCTGCTTGAGTGTGGGGAGTCTGTGTTTCATTTCCTTTTCTGCTTGATGAACACCCTCCTCTCTCATCTCAGGAAGAGTCCTGAGCATTATATCACAGCACGTACTCTTTCCTGGCTGCATTTCTGATAGATGCTTTTCAATAACACTCAGTTAATGGGAACTGGCCACCAAATGCCCTAGCTGCCAGGGTAAAGAACTACACTCTGTCTTTCTCTGTGTCCCTGGGAATAATTGAGACACATCTCAAAACTCTGTGGCCTGTGGCATGGAAACTGCTGTTGATACTCTTTGCTCGAGTTAAGCAAGGAATAGATCAGTTAGCTTTCCGTTTGCTTCCTCTGCCTTACAGGAACATTGGAAGTTAAATTTTTGGCAATAGCATTTCATGAATGACTTGAAATGCTGTCTTTGTCCTTTGAAATGTAGTTTTACCTCCTGGACAGAAAACAAGTGGAAATGTTTTCTACCTGGTAGGAGCATAGATGCATTTATCTTCTAAATACTTACAAGTCAAATTTTTCATTTTTTTTTTTAATTTTATTTTTAAAATGAAACAAAACTGTCACTGGAGAAGATCTGAGCAGTTGAATCTAGTACATATGTGAAAGTGTAAAGATTTCCCCACCAAGTGAAAAGATTTTCCTCATAAGGGATGGAGAGAAGCTAAAGTTACATATTTTCCCAAGTTTTACTCTTAGTTTTCCTTTCTTCAGATTCTTCAGTTTGAAGAAATTTTGGCCAACCCTTCATACCGAGAGCACTTCAGAATCTACATGGAAAGGATGGACAAGATGGCTTTGATCGGTCTTTGGGAGTCCGTGGAGTGTCTGAAGAATGCTAACAAGGTGGAAGAAATTGCAAGTCCATGTGGCTTGTACATTAATGGGAATCTCTGCTTGTTGTGATCTTGATGTTAGGAGATGTCTTTGTATTTATATGTTTAAAAGAACAATAGCATAGGATGAATGCTAAGCAATTTAGGTTTTTTTAACTTCTTGATGTTAATGTTTGAGGATAATATGTCAATTAAAAATTGTGGACTGTTGTGATGGTGGCTTACTGTTGTTTGGTGTAGCAACATGACCTGTAAAAAGGACACTTGATACGCAAAAGTAGTAAAATTAAAAGTAGTAGAATTATTTCCCCTTCCACCAGAGGTAAACCTTGCAGTAATATATTGGTTTTAGTTGTATCAGCTCATGTGAACCATAAAAGTACATTACAGTTTGATAGTCTGTACAAAAACTCTCATCTTGCCAATTACAGGTAGCACATTCAATCCAAAACTGAAAAATTATGTATATATGTTTTTAAAATCCTTTTGAAAGAGAGATTTTGCTTTAAAAGACCCCTTCCTCTCCTTGTTCTGTTGCTGTATAAGCAGCTTTCTCCAG